TAAAAATTGTACGATGATAAGTCCTTCCATTCAAAATGAGATCATTGAATCAATTGGTGATGTAATAAAAAATAAAGTAGTTGATAGAGTTCGTACATCTAAATATTTCTCAATATTATGTGATGAAAAAACTGATACAAGTACCATTAAACAAATGACAATCTGTATTCGTTATGTAGATAGTACCACTTTTACTATTAAAGAAGATTTCTTAGGTTTTGTAGAAATGGCTTCAACTACAGGAACTGCAATTAAAGATGCAATAAAAGCTGAAATAGAAAAAGTTGGTCTAAGTTTTGATTTTCTCAGAGGTCAAGGATACGATGGAGGCTCAAACATGTCAGGAAAAAATAATGGTGTTCAAGCGCTTATATTACAAGAACAGCCATTAGCTTTTTATACACATTGTTTTAGTCACTCGCTTAATCTTTGTCTTTCTAAAGCATGCGAAGTTGTTTCAATTAAAAATATGACCAGTATAGTAGTATAGTAGGTGCCGTATCTTCATTTTTTTCTTGCTCAGCTAAGCGTACAGATAAATTGAAATATTTTATCGATACTAGTTTCTCGAATGAAAGTAGTACAACTAATAAGAAAACTAAATTAAAAAAACTTTGCGAAACTCGCTGGGTTGATCGGCATGATTCTCTTATATCATTTAAAGAACTCTATATTTACACTGTTGCTACTCTTGAACATCTTGAACATCATGATTCAAATCCAGAGACATCAAGTAAAGCATCATTATATGTCAGTGCAATAACAAAAAGTGACTTTCTTGTTTCCCTTGAAGTGGCCGTAATTTGTTTTTCTTTTACATAACAACTAAGTCAAGTCTTACAGAGCAAACAACAAGATTTATCTAAAGCATTGACCAATGTTACAGCAGTAAGACAAGCTTTAGAAACCAAACGTAAAAATGCAGATCAGTCTTTCAAAGAAATAATGAATAGTGTCACTGAATTAGCTTTAAAAGTTGGTGTAGAAATAACCATGCCTAGAACATGTGGGAGACAAACTAAAAGAGTTAATGTTAATGCTAAGGACCCTGAAGAGTATTATAAAATATCAATTTTTATAACATTTCTTGATAACTTAATAAATCAGTTATATTTTAGATTTGATAAAAGATTTCAACAAATTATGCCACTAGAAGGATTAATACCAACTAATTTTGGAAACTATGACGATGCATCTATTTTAGCGGCTGCTTTTATTTATGAAAATGATTTTCCAGTTGGCATGATGTCATGTTTAAAAGCAGAAATATTTATTTGGAAGAAACAGTGGGAATCAGAAACGAATCTTCCAGAGTCTGCTGTTGAAGCACTTCAACATTGTACAGAGCTCTTGCCAAACATAAAGAAACTTTTACAATTATTTGCTACATTGCCTGTAACGTCAGCTACGCCTGAGCGTACATTTTCAGTCTTAAAACGACTTAAAACTTATTTAAGAGCAACTATGACTGGAGAAAGATTAAATGGATTAGCTCTTGCTAATATAAATAAAGATGATTTAGACTTTAAAGATATCGAAAAATACATTTTACCAGCTTTTATAAAAAGATCTCCAAGAAGGGTACAAACATTGGACTGGACAAAATAAAAATATTTAAAAAATAAAAAAAAGTGTTATTTAAATGTTATTTGTTTATTTTATTTTTTTTTGGCCCCCCTCCCCCTTGTAAAAATCCTGGCTACGCCACTGCTTCTTAGTTCTTATTACTCGTGTTGTCTTTAACGACGGTTCACGACTTTATAGTTTATTGTTTCTAACTATTACTTTGACAACTTCGCATTCATAATTGTGTTAAGTAGGTACATAGTTTTTAATATTTAACACCTCATCTGTTATTGCATGTGATTTTTTTTTCTTGTGGTATCAACGACGTTGCCAGAACTTCTTGCATATTACTTCGGCAATATTATTGTAAGTACTTTATAATTTAATAATAATATATAAATTATTAAATTTAAAAGTAGGTACCTACGTAATTAATTTAATTTAAAATGCTTTTAAACAGTAATTTGAAATTTCTGTTAGTATAAAACTAGGATATTTACATACTGTGTATTTTTTATTTGTATAGGTAATATGTTATTCTAAATTTTATTGTTTTTAAAATTAAAATGCCATAAAAAATTACAATATTTATGAAGCCCTGATTTTCGAAAATTTAACCCGGTGTTAGTTAGTATTTTTTAATAGGGTCAAAATACAAATTTTATCGAGGTTCAGTAAAAACATTTTGTAACAAAATAAGAATGCTTATTTTTTTCATCTCATTTAACAATGGATATTCAAACTATTTTAATATTTTAATAATTTAAATTACAGGGAGATTATTTTATCACGATTCACTCATTATAAAAATATTATCATGAAATAAATATTTTAATTACATGGTTTTAACTATTCAAGTCGTAACAAAAAACGTCTTTTTGTTAAAAAATGATACCTATTTTAAAATATTTTGTTTTTACTTTTTCCAATGAAAACATAGTTTCAATTAAATATTTTGATCTTCAAAAGCAATATATTGTTCTGAGTATTTCGAAACATAAAAATCGAATTTAGGAAGAGCAATTTATGAGTTTGAACTTATAACTTATAAATTATACTATAGTATTACTATTGAATATTAATCCACTAATACTATATATTAATTTTAGTCTAGATGAGCAGAGTAGAGTGGTAGCTACTGCCTACACGGTTAGGTACCCCGCAAAGTGTTGATTCGCTACTCCACTCATCAAAACTTTAAATACCTACTTATAACTTGTAAGTTATAAATCATACAATTAAAAATATTCGATAAATTCGATTTGTATTTATCGAGAAACTCAAAATCCAGCGCCACGGTCGTGGCGCGAGCTAAGTAAAGAAAATAAAAGCGGCGGCACGACAGTGTATAATATTATCTCGAAGCAGGAGTTTCCCATTAAAACCGTGTAAATGTCGGTGTTTTTTGTCAGATGAGATAATTAATTATCTACTGAATCAATTTATACCTAGTAAGTTGCAAAACATGAGGAAAATCATACAGATGATCCTTTTGTAAAAATCATAAAAATCGTACAGTATCGTATCGTCGTCAGTCTGCAGTAGACGTGTACGTTCCGTTCTTTTTGCATTGCTGCTCATAGCGTGTTGTCTAGTCTGTCTTATCTAATATTAAACGATTTAAAATACGTGCATAGTGCATTACATGTTGTCTATTTTGTCCACTAGCTTTTAGTTATTGACGCTGGACTTACGCTGTACATGCTTTTTATGTTACGTGTCGTTATTGGTCATTATTCAATTACGCATTAAAGTAATTAGTGTTCGTAAAAATACGAGCTATAAAGTTACGTAAGTATATAGTTCGTAATTAGTGTTCGCAGTATTCGCACTGCGCATACGGCTCACGCTGGACTTGTCCGGTATATTCCGTTTTAAACTGTGTTCGCACCTCCCGTATAACTGACCAATAATTTATATACCGTTCAGTACCTATTACTACGTACTACGTATTATT